TCCCAGATGATCCGAAATTCCCTGGGAGTTCAAGGCTTTCCAGGTTGGCAGACACCTTTTGAAATTTCGGCACGCGTTTGCGGGGTTTAGTGATCGGGAAGCTGCTCGAGAACAACATAACTATAAGAGAAGCTGGTACAGTACTGCTTACACGACTGTCGCCCCTTCACAGAAGGCACCCGGCAGGCGGCCGGGAGCCGCCGTCCCCCCGGAGTGACCGCCGTCGGTCTTTTTCACGTCACTACGGATCACATAGTGAAGTGGTCCGTAGTTCCGAGCAGTTCGGAGATTTCAACACTTCACTCGCTGCTTCAAATGCGAATCTTGACGGTCGAGCTAAGAAAATTGCCCGGGCACGTCCGCCGTACCGTTAGAACTCCGCGTTCTGGTTACGTCCTACATACCTTTAGACTCCGCGTTCCGGATGGGTTCGACGTATCCTTCGACTCAGCGATTATGGAGGAGCTCCCGTGGTTAACGATTGCGGATATTTTAATTAAACTCGAACGACCGAGCGATGTCCGAGGTAGTGATCCGAGTCCGTACGAGAAGCACGGGACCGAATCTGGCTTACTCTGAATTAAATAAAAAAGAAAAGGCTCATTCCCTCATACTTCACGTTATTCCTATGCGGGAGAGCACACAAAACCCTCAAAAACCGAATTCCGCTCACGAAATCCACGCACTCCGATCAACGCCCACAACGCTTCCGACACGCACTGGGCGCTGCCATCTTTTCGTTGACGCCAGAGATTTGGTCTGGTTACGTCATAGATTTGGCCTGGTCACGTGTCTAGTGGTCAAAATTGTACAACATGGCGGCGGCCAATCGGGGGTCACTTTTGCCTGATGAACGGTATACTAGTTTATCACTCTAAGGCCCTCTACCTCGTTGATCGACACACACAACTGCTGCCTTCTCACCTCATGCGGTTGTTGGGATGTGTAAATATAAATGTCATCTACATTTGTTGGCCATCATATAGTGTGAGTTACGCACACAATAATTTGTGCTCGCTGCTAGAAAACAGAGATCCGCTACAAGATGCCCGCGCCTGGTACATAGTTCTGTCTTCCAGCGATCCCAATTGAGGCAGGTTTGAGCGTAATAAGCCTGTCTCTTGAAGATGGAATGTTTTGTGAATATGTCAGTCAACCTCACATATTGAAGTCACCACATCTCGCGCATGTGTTCTAAGCTCCTTGATCAACCGAGAATATCTACGAAACGTACCTTCAATGGGTGTGGGGATGCACCGCAGCTCCGAAGTATGTTTCCTTTGCCACGGGCTACAGCCAAACAACCTCGACAGCTCAAATTCAGTGTCTGGAAGGGCGCAGCCTTGCAGCTCCGTGAACCGTACGCCCGAGGGGCTATACTCCGTTCCACCTTCAGTCCGAGCGCAGTGGACGCCACGAGCCATCCCAGCCGATCCAGCGCCGGGAGAAAGTCGCGTGACCTGCCGGTAAGGCGGGGCGACGCAGGGAGCTCAAGGTCGCATGACACTCCCTCAACGCCGCATTGGCTGGGATGGCTCCTAGCGTCCGCTGTGCTCGGACGGAAGGTGAAACGGAGTATAGGCTTGGCGAGCGCCAAAAAATAGGGCAGATTACGCGATAAGAGCTGAAGCTACCCGTAAGTCACGAGGTCGCTGCTGCCAAACCCATCGCCCGTCTCTCACAATGGGGATTTTCTCGGCTTGTCCTCTCAGAAGAAGCCGGCGCAAAAAGGGACCCTTCCCCCCGCCTCGCCGTGCTGCAAGACAGGAGAGAAAGGGAAAAAAAGAGGGCGAGGAGGACTTTCCGCCAGGCTGAAGAATATCTCTGCTGGTTGAAAACGTTGCCTGTCCTTTTTTCTTTCTACTTCACGTTTTTCCGTTTTTCAAAACACAGACTCAGGTTTTTAATCATCATGCGTCTAATTCGCTTTAAAATTAGTTTGCTTGTACCCAACGCAAGGCGGGTGTTTTTGAGGTTATGATGCAATATGCAACACATTAAAACTAAGAAACGCGCGCTGGAATTTCGTTTCACTACCCCTTTAAAACAGACGTGGGAAACAATGCTTCGGCCATCGGTGCCGTACGATTCTTTTTCAACCAACTTTATCGCTTTATTCAGTCTTAAGTAGAGTTGTAATTATTATCTTGAGACTGGCGTAATTAGGAATTTACGTGCATTCAGAAGGTACGTATAAGGACATTGTGGAGAAAGAAAGCAACTGCTGACAGAGTACATGTGCGACTTTATTGTAGTGGGCATATTTTGAATCTAACATACGCCATGCGATAAATACTATGTTTTTCTTTTTATTCAAATAGAATTTTTTTTTTTTTTTTTCAGGTTAGTTATATGGCGGACATTATGTTCGAGAGGGAATGCAACTAAAATATGACGATATACAGCAAGTTCGCGTGTGTGCGCGTGCGTGCGTGCATGTATATATGTATAGTATGTTTGTGTGCGTCTGTGTGCGGGTGCATCTGTTTTTGTGAATGCATTTGGTATCTTTATTTGTGTGAGCGTGTATGCGTATATACGTACATGTGTGCGCGTGTGGAGCTGCATGTCCTCTTATTCATTGTGTATTATATATTATTATAGATTTTAATCCGTTCGGCGGCGGGCTAGGAGGCACACCTGCGTACTGAGTGTCCCAACCTTTCTGCCTATACCTTGCACACTGCCGAGTGGATACTAAAAAACGTTCAAATAAAAAATATTATTAATATTATCAATTACTTTTTTTATTTAGACATTGAAGGAAATATGTTTGTATTGAAGAAATGAAGACGATCATTGTTAATGATCAATCCAATTTAAAAAAAAGGTAAATAATTGAGCACGCAGTTGAAGCTATTCATTGTGGGGCGCCGAGAGGGCGGATGGCCGTATACAAGCCCACCTGCCGGTAAGCCAAGAAAACAAAATAAAACGAGAAAAGAAACCGAGGGCAGAAAAGGGGAAAAGCTAGGCAACCCCTCGAGTGCCTAGCCACGGCTGCGAACAGTCCAGGACACTTCGAAGCTAACACTGGGCCATTCAACCGATCGTATACCTTTCTCCACGAGATCACGTTCTCACCCATACCCAGACGCAGGAGGGAGGGAGCGGGGTCAGCTGATGAAGAGGGAGGCGTAGCTCCCAGTGCGCTGTCAGCTTAGGCCAGCCACACACACCCCACCAGTATCGTGTGTTGCGCCAAATCATGCTTTTTTTTTTCTTTTTTTTTCCTTCTCACGCGCTAAAGTTAGGACGTACACAGGGGCGGATCCAGAACTCCGTTTGGGGGGGGGGGGGGGGGGGGGGGGGGAGAATTTTTAAGGATACTATTCTTCCATTCTTTCTTGCGCAAGAAGGGTCCACCCATGTCAAATTGCCCTCCGAGAAGGGGGGAGGGAGGGGGGTCGACTTTGGGAGAGGGGGGGGGGGGGCGGCCGCTTCCGTCGCCCCCCCCCTTGGATCCGCCACTGGACGTACATATTTGGTGTGAAGCAGTGACCCAGGATTTTCCCCTCTGCGTTTTCATTGTCTTTTTGACCCGTCTCCAGCAGAGCTCGCACGTTGGAGGCTGGTGGGGACTGTTGATCGGTAACCGCAATAATTATTCGTGATTAGGGACGCAAATATATTTCTTGGAGCATACTGCACAAGAACCTACAATTCAGGCCGCGTACCTTCAAAGTTTGGGGGGTTCTTTTCCGATTCTCCAAACTCCTGTCTCCGCATCGATCTGACACAAAGAACATTGCATAGCTCTCGGCAAAAAGGGTTTATTGCACTCCCACTCTGCTTTGTGGTTTCGGGATCTTAAAGGGATTCTCGAGGAATCCTTCGGCAGGTGCGCCTCCATCGCTGCAGCTGCTGCCGATAGTCCCAGCGACGCTTCGACACCCAGTTATGGGGACGTCGCCGTCGAGGGTCAGATCCGGGGTGAAACAAACCATGTCATCGGGCCGTGTCGCGACGTTGCGGTCGCAGTGTAGCACCGCGTACGTCCGTCGTCGCCCGTTCCTTCCGCGTGGGTCTTCTCAAAATGCCCCGAGGGTCGGGCCCGGGTTGAAGCTCACACTATGTCACTGTGCCGTCACGGACACTCCCGCTGCGCACATCCGTCGCCGCCCCTCCCTTCGGCGAACAATCCAGTGCCGTGTGGGTGTCACGTGACCTCAGGGAGGGGCACAGCAGTGAAGTGCGGGGAACGAAGTCACGAGATACGTTCACTGCGCTGGATTGGCTGAAATGGCTCGTTGAGTCCACTGCCGTCAAATGCAAAGGGGAAGGGAGCTCAGCTACAAAAAGAGAAAGCCTGTAAATCCCCGCGCTGGTCCTCCACCCCCCCCCCCCTTTTTTTTTTTACGTATGGCCGTGTTTTTTGTTGGTGTTTTATTTAGTGGTGCTGTAATGAGATTATTACATCTTTTTTCTCAATTTTCTTAAAACCTAAAAGCGCCGTTCACGCTCTTGCAACCGAGTACTACCGAGAGAGACAAGACCGGTTTTTAAGGCTCTTGCGACTTCTTAGGACCAGCTCCGCTGCATCGCATCCGGTCCTAAGAAGCCGCAAAAGGCTTAAAAACCGGTCTGGTGTCTCTCGGTTGAAGTCGGTCGCAAGAGTGTGAACGGGCCTAAACGATGAAGGTGTTAGCCGTACTCTCTGTCCCCCAAACACCTAACGCCTAAAAAAAAAAAAAAAATGTTCCGCGGTTGCTGGTATTTGGGGCGGGGGAGGGGGGGGGGGGGTTCAAACTGAAAGAACAAGGCAAACGAATATTTCGGGCGGAGGTTCTGTTCTGCCCGAACCACCGCCCGAACCACCGGTCGGATCCCAATTCAACTTTTCGCGCTCTCTGGAGGCACGATCGCACTGGTACCGCAGTTCCATACAACGCGCGGCGCAGCTCGACAGGCAGCGCTCTTCTCGCACCAGGCGGCCGACACGCAAAGCATGAATCCGAGTGACGTCAAGCGACGCTTCCCGGCCCCCTGGCGGCGAGACGGGAGCGCCGTCGCTGCTGCGCCGCCCGAACCGCCCGGCGCTGCGCCGAGAAACGGTAATCAGGGCGCTCTCGCCGAGGATGAGATTCCGCGAGACGTTTCATCTCCCCTCATCCAGTTTAATCAATATGGCTGCCCCGACACCCACAACACGATTTAGTGACAATTACGAGTTAAAAGAAGAACTAGGAAAGTGAGTACCAACTGATTTTTCACCTCGGGGCATGTTCGGGCAAGGTTTGGGGGCCCCCGTGGCCCCCGCCGGTCACCGTGTCCGGGGCGCACGGGCCTTCTCTGCGGCACCGCTCTCTCCGGCCGCTCTCCGAGGAGAGCGGCGATGCTGGGCGCCCTTCGTACGCATCTGCACGCTCGGCAAACTCGACTAGCCCGGGGTTTTGCAGCGCAAAACTCGCGTTTCCGCCCGACCCGGGTTCGGTGCGTCTCATCACGTGGAGTTACCGTGCGTGTGCATTGCCTCCGGCGTTCCCCGGTCTCGTCTGCCCGTTGAGGTTCCTAACCGGGGTCGCTCGCCGCACGACTGCGGGGGGGCCCTTGCCCCGCTGGCTCGACGTCGCCGGGCAAGTCTACGTTTGCCTCGCGGGCGCTGCTCCCGGGCACGCCGGGTCGCGGGGCGTGCTCGGGCGCCAAGAATCCGGACTCGCCCCCAGTTTTCGGGCTGCGGGCGTCGCGATCTCGTACCGGCCCACCGTTGGAGATCAGCTGACAGACGCAAAGTGGAACGTGCGTCTGCTACTGCCGTATTTTTTTTTTTTTTCTCTGTTTCCATTTGCCGATTAATGTTAAGCTAGGAGACAACGCGGTGCGCATGTGTTATTGCAGACGGTGAAAAGAAAAAGTCCTGACAAGTCGGGACCACGGGCTAGCCTTTTGGAGATGTTCGCGAGGTTTTGAAGGGCAGATGTCGTGCTCGTGAGGGCTCCAACATCAGCTCTATTTGTAGCCTCCTTTGGGAGAGCCAGAAAGAGAAAAAAAAAAAAAAAAAAGAAAACAGAAAAAAAAAAGAAACAGTGTTTGTGGGCGTACCCGGAGGAAAAAAAAGACAAAAACAAAAAAGAAACGTGCGTATTTTTTCACGCCTGCTGCTTTGCGGCCTAGTGAACAGAACTTGACACCTGGATCGTGTGAGGCGCGTTTTATTTGATCTGTTATTTTTATCACTCACGTCTGAATGGTCCCCCATATCTTTCGGAATTTGAGCGGCGGGTCTTTGCTCGGCGTTCTGAGCGGTAAAACATGTGAGCTTGTTCCCCCCACCACCGACAGGCGCAGCGGGCTTTGCTACTGAGCGTTTCTCGGCCGCACCCTTCTTGACGTAACCTTTGGCGGCAAACTCGATTTACTGCGAATCGGGCATCTCGGTCACGGATTCAACTTCTTATGCGATGAAGCGTTGCATTCGCCGTGCAGACGCTCAGATGCCCGCCGGCAAACGACATTTTACGCCGACGCGTAGTTGGCTCGCGACTACATCATTTTGGACGTTTCGTATTTATGCGATTCATTTACCACGAAACGCTAAAGTATTACAGAGTGGAATGGGGCGGGAGAATCGGAGATCTTTAAGCACGGAAAGGGGAACGACGTAGAATCAACGGGGATTGCGTTCATTGTAGCCTGCGTGGGATCACGCAGGTTTCTAAAAAAAAAAAAAAAAAAAAGAGAAACTATAACTGAGCGAAGATACTGGATACCCCAGAACTCGTAGCGACGTTTGTTACAGTTATAGAAATCTGCTTGCAACTTGGAGAACACGTCTACAGAAAAGGCACTTAATCGTAAAATAAAAGATAACCGCGAAATATAAATGCAAGCACATAAAATTGGTAGCAAGCAGTGATATCTGTTTCGTAGCAATACCACAGAACAAGTTACTACGCGATGTCGGGCCGAAGATGGCGAAGTTCAGTCGAGGTCGTAAAATTAAATATTTAAATTACTATTCCGAGGAATAACGTGCCCTTTTGTAGGGACAATGTACGACGCGCGATAGGATGGGTTAGATAAGAAACCAATGCTTTATCTTACCAAATGGGCTGGGACGAGATGTTTTGATGCAATGTCGAAAAAATGTCGTTTCAAAAAAAAAAAAAAAAAATTTTTTTTTTTTGAGGGAAAATGGAGTTTACTAATCTCTACCCCTACATAGCTATCATGCATCATCTCAAACTCATCCCAAATTCTCATGATCTAAAAAAAAGATAATAATAATAATTTTACGAGGTAGGATTGGAGTTAGGGAGTTTCTAACGTAAGGGGCGCAACTCCTGATTTTTTCGTAATCATTCTCACCCCGATAAGGACTAATTAAAAAAAAAAAAAGACATCGCGTATTGTAAATTTTTTAATTAAACGCCTATTTTCTTCCCTGTTATTTTTTTTTTCTCGTTTGCTACGCCACGTCTGTATTCTCCGCGTAACAATGTCGGAGCAATTTGTTGGAACAAGCGTCGCAAACATTGGTGCGAGAGCTGTTTCTTTCCCCTGCGCCTTCAGCCCGTGCCGGTGGATTACCGGACCGATTTTCACGGGGACCGAATAGGTGCCGGAGACGTCGCGTCGCTAATGAGTGGATCCGCTGATCCCTCCGAGCTTTTCTTTTTTCCCCGTGTTTTGTTCGCCCGTCTTTCGGGGTAATCCTTGCGCGAGTGATTTTCGGATTGCGCGTCCCTTCTACCGTGTCCTCACCCGTTATCTCTGTCTCCCTGTGTCTCGCAGAGGTGCGTTTTCAATTGTGCGGCGATGCGTGCAGAAGTCGACGGGATTAGAGTTCGCCGCCAAGATCATCAACACCAAGAAGTTGTCTTCGAGGGGTGAGCAGGGCAAGAAGTTTTTCGTTTTGTTCTGTTTCTTGAAGTGCGAGTGCATGCGGAAGAGCGCCGTGTGTGCGTTGAGTGAGTGAGTGTGAGTGAATCTGAGTGAGTCGGGATGTCCGGGATTTGTAGCACCAACCGCCAGGATCGCGGCATATCTGACAGAATTACAACAGGTATGAGGTGGTGAGAGAGATTTGGAAAGGGGTCATGGTGCCTGGCTTGACTTTTGGAAACGCAGTGCTATGCATGAAATCCGAAGTGCATGCGAAACTAGAAATAAAACAGCGCGGAGTAGGTAGACTGGCTTTGGGGGCGCATTGCAAAACGCCAAACCAGGGAGTACAAGGAGACATGGGATGGGCATCATTTGAGAGCAGGGAAGCGGTGAGCAAGGTAGAATTTGAGGATAGGTTGAGGCTAATGGATGGGGAGCAATGGGCACGAAAGGTTTTCAGCTATTTATACATGAGGAGTGTAGACACAAAGTGGAGACAGCGCACTAGGAAATTAAGAGGAAGGTTTTTGGGCTATAGCGAAGATACGGAAGAGCAAGTCTCAGTTAAGAAGAAAGTTAAGGCCACAGAAAGAGATCGGTGGCTAGAGGGAATGCAGACAAAGACTGCTCTGGAAAGCTATAGATTAAACAAAAGAGTTATTGCCAAAGAAAGCATTTATGACAATTCTGGGGGAAGCTCATTGCTGTTTGAGGCAAGAACGGGTGTTCTGCGAACCAGAACATACAGAGTGAAGTACCAGGAAATTGATACAGTGTGCACGGCTTGTGGAGAGGAGGACGAGACGGCTGAGCACTTGATACTCTACTATAAAGGGCTTCACCCTATGCCTACCGAAGACAACATAGATTTAATAAAGTCATTGGGTTTTAGAGACAGCGAAGGGAGGGTGGATTTCAAAACTGTAGAGATTACCAAGCAAAGATTAAGTGAATGGTGGCAGAAATCGAGAGAAAACTAGGTATTTTCTTAATCACTGATGGCAAGGGGGTTTCATAGCCTCACTTTCTTTGCACTGCGGAGTGAATATAGATTTCACATTTAAATATTCTAAGCTTAAATGGTAAAACAAAATGGCTAGGTGGCGTAAGCTACCGCCCGATCCAAAGGGCTCAGCCGTATTCATCCATCCATCCATCCAACGACAGGCGGGTTTCTGTGACGTCATTTGTTGTCGCTTCGAGACCACTCTTTTGATGTATGTGCGGATGGGACGCTAAAGACACCGGTCGAAGACGCGTTCCTGGCGCCGTAGTTGTGTCTGTGTGAGCGGTTCTTGGTTTACAGGAAGGTCTACAGCCCGAGACCGCTCTTAGCTTGGTAGCGAATCTAGCGATCAACCAATGACCACCCTCGCGCGTGGAAGCTATAGGCGTTTGCAAGTACGGGTTTGGGCGCCGCCATCTTGCTGCTGGTGTGGGTAGATCGTATGATCTATAGCCAAGCATTGCTGAGGCGTACCTAGGGTCTATAGACTGGCGCCCAAACAAAGCAGTTTCCATCCACGGTTGCCAGACTAGCTTCCGAAGTGCGGCTGCTTGCAAACGTCTATAGACCAACGCGCCTTTTGCCCGTGGCTACTGCGCGTGTGCTTGAAACGAGATACGCGTGACGTGAAAACCGCCTGCGCCTGCGCCGACAGCAGTGCCACCACGTGACGTCAAAGCTGCTGGTGGGTGTGTGGTGAGGAGTCGATACCCACACGTCTGCGCCATGGAACGTTGCGTTCTTTCTTCTTTTTGTATTATCTGGACGTTCACAAAGGGAAAAATATACATTCTGAAGCATTTACGTTGCCGGATGGAATCTTGCCCTGAACCTCAAGTTTGCGCAGCGCAATTTAGAGATCGTGCCTTTTCGACTCGGGTGCGTGGACTACCCCGCCCGTCTGCAAAGACAGGTCTGGTGTGAACGGCGACTGTATATGTTAGGTAGAAGTGTACACGCACCCTCTCTCCGAACATGGGACACAATTTCGCTGAACATTCAGCAGGTGCACCGTGCACGCTTACTGCTCGGCGTGGAGTTGATCTTCGCTCTAGCACAATGCAAAAAACTGTCCCTCGTCGTATAGCTTGATCGGCTGAGAGAGCCGGGGCGACCCGAGAACGGATAGAAGGCGCAGAACAGTTACGAAAAGTTGCAAGTCATGCTGTCACGGAATAAATAGTGCAGTGGCCGTCGTCTGAGCTCCCGCGACAAATTTGGAAGGTTTATGACGGAACATCTCTAACCGTCACTGTACGGCAAACAACAACAACAAAACGAGATTGTAAGTTAAGTAAACGGGTCAAACCTTTAGGGAAAGCAGATGGAATTCCTTATATGTGTATATAGCATAGGAGGAATGAAGCATCTTTGATTTGGAGTGAAAAGGGTACTTTAATGTTTGCTGTAGAAATTCGTCTAGAATATCCCTGAGGGTCTTTTCAAAGCGCCAGTTTTTTTTCACCGGACAAATCTAAGGATTACAAATGTGCCCGGATCAGCTCCCTTTCAATACCCAGAAAAAATAAATAAAAGACAGTTTTCTAATTTTCGGACGAGCCCATACTGCGCTGCAGCCTGAGGTTGTACTGCGGGATAGCTGAATAACAAAATCTGTTTAAATGATCTGATTGGAACTTATTCTGGCTAAACTTGGTTGCTCAGTTTTGCTGCGCGTGCCAGTTCCGTTAGGGAAGCAGGCTAGAGGTATGACGACACGATTCACATCTAGACGGGATTTTATTGTTTTGCGAATTTACGTAAATTCGTAGAAAAGTCTCGACGACCAAGCCATGTGGATACTTCAATATCGCTCATAAACCTTGTTGGAAGATCGTGGCGATGACGGGAGGCTTTTATTTATTTATGTATTTCAAATACTTTAAGTTGGTATCAGGACCGTTATATCAATGGAAAAAGAAATACACTTTAGACATAAAAAAATGGTACCAACTATAAACACATACACACACACAAACACACACACACTAACACACGCACCTATTCAAATACATACAGATCAAAGTATCTCGCCTCTGGCTCTCTGCCAGACAACGCTTTCGGGCATCGGGCAACATCATCCTCACGTAAAATACGCTTTAAAAAAAAAAAAAAAAAACTTTTGTTTTGTTTTTTATTTGAATTTAACTACTACTACTACCTCGATGAAATAATGAAGCAATAATAATAATAATAATAATAACAGCGACTTCTCACCAAGCGCGATAATTTATTTAATTCAAAATAAAATTTTGATTTTTTTTTTTAAATGGAGCTGTCATTTTGTATAGAAGAGCTGTCATTTTATCATTTTTCTTAGTAAAACTAATGCTGGAAGTGGGCGCCATTTATTGAAACCTGTCGCACTGTCTCAAAGCGCCCGTGCGATCATTTTCCCGCAGGACGGAACGGGAGCCGTCACTCGGTGTACGGAGGGAACTCCGAAGGCCAACTCCGACGTGCGTTTAGTCGCATTGGGTCATTGTGCCTGCTCATCCTATCCTGAACTGGATACATTTTTTGATGTCTAATCGTATCCCGGGTTTCGTCGTCATTCGCTGTGACTCGCCTGCGTGAGCGCTCAAGTTTCTTACGATTTTTTTTTTTTTTTTTTTAGCGCGCGACACAAACATTGCTTGGCAGAGTTGGGGTTAAACACAGTTCAACTTACACACCATTTCCAATACTTTAAGAAAAATTATTTCTAAATGTTTAAAAATTGTATTCCCAACTCTAACGGTGTGCATGTATACGCACTAAATCACAATTTCTCACACCGCTTCTATGTTTCACATTTTCACCACCAGGCTGCGTCAGTTTTTTTTTTTTTTTTTGTGTGTGTTTTTGAATATGCAGTGGTTCCCCACTACTCTCGTTCACGTCCTTTCCGCTGAGTGGCGTCGCCTCCTCTGGAGTTTCCTAGAGGGCCTACATTGTAGAGGGGGCCCATCTCAAACCATGTGGAGTCTTTGCAATTTAATGGCGGACGCTTCCTGCGGAGATTGGTCGCCAGTGCGCATGCGCCGCGTTGTCGCGTGGCGAGGAGGAAAGCGGGCGTAAAGGCGGAGACCTTTGCAGACGACCAACGCTTTCGGCATCTCTATAGACCCTTTCATCAAGGGCGCCGCCATCTTGAATTGTCGTCACTTCCAGTATGGGCGAAAACATTGTTTTGCCTTCGCCACGCCAATAGAATGCATTTAAGAGAAAAGCGTAACCGTCACTCATTCTCGTTTTGCCTCCCCTCTATTTTTTTGCTGGTTACAGGCTGAAACGTTTTAATATTTTTTCGTCGCCCATACCGGATATGCCTACTTGGCGGTCGGGGGCGAGAGTAAGCGGCGTCATTTCCGATACCCTCCAGAGAAGAGGGGGAGAAGGAGCTCCCCTCTTATCAGGACCCTCCTTTGTGCCTTCCGGATTTGCACAGGCGTCGCTATTCTCCCCCCAGAAGATTATAGAAGATTAACCCGTCAGTCAAAATTCTTACAAAAGCAGCTTCCCTCTCCTCCTTTTACTTGGTGTGCAAATGTGTGCGATGTGACGTCAATGCAAGGAGCCTATAGACCTTTTCTGCAAGTGCGCCGCCATCTTGAATTTACGTCACTTCCAGTATGGGCGAAAACATTGTTTTGCCTTTGCGGCGCCAATAGAAGGCATTTAGGATATAAGCGTAACCGTCACACTTTCTCGGTTTGCCTCCCCTTTATTTTTTAACTATTTGCAGGTTGAAACGTTGGATTATATTTTCGTCGCCCATACCGGATACGCCTATTAGGTGGCTGGGGACGAGAGTACACAGAAAAGGTCTATATATTGTCCCCTTTATATCGAATCGAATAAATTGAATTCAAAGTTCTCTAGAGGCATTAAATAAGCTGCGCGCTTTTGAGTGTCGGATCTCAGACCCCCTAACGTCTTGCGGCCGCGGACATTTTGGTGCTTAGTGCGGAATGGGCGCAGTTCGCGATCGTCACACAATTCGTTAAATGCTACTTCTTGAGC